TCACTGAGCTGTGCACTCCAGCTACAGACTGCTCCACTGCATCTATTTCCATGAAGGCTTCCATATGCATACAGCTGCAGGAGGCTGATACTTGGATACACCCTTTCGCACAGGAAAGACCTGCTTTCTCCTGCTCACCTCCTCTCGTTTCCGTAGGAGGATTTTCTGGCTGGTTGGCTTCTTCCACGACAGGTTTCTCAACCTCACCAACATGGCAAGGAGGTTCAGGGTCCTTTGCCTCAGTTTGCTCCTCCAGATGCTCCTTTTCTGGTTCCTTGCATATCTGATGGTCTACAGGAAGCTCATGCTTTTCTGCCTGTTCCGAAGACAGACATACATCTTTATTTTGCCCGTGCTCAGCAGCAGTGTCAGCCAAACTATTTTCTTTTGTCACTTCCAAAGGATGTTCCTGACCGCGGTCTTGTTCTTTAGCTTGACATTCCTTTAGACTGTCAGCAATAAATGTTTCTTTGAGTGTCTTGTGTGAAAGGCAAGCTGGATCGCAACAGGTTACCTCCCCTGTCTGGGGAGAGGGGTCGTTATTTGCCACGGAAGCGTTATTGGAAAGATGCTGTAATAAGAGAGGATGTTCTTTTTCTGGGGTTATCTGGCATTCAGTTGGAGATTCAAAACACTTGACGGCTCTAGGATCAATGGGCTCTGCGAGGCGAGATTTGGATGAGCAAATTGAAGCAGGGGCAGAGACGGAACGATCAAGTAATTGATTTGTGGGATTACAGATCTTGGAATTTAGTCCTGAAGACTGGACTGGATTTTGAAACCCATCAGAAGCTGGTAATGAGGGCATTTCCAGTGAGGTAGTTTCTTTGTCACTATTCTCTAACAGAAGGCAGAAAGAAAGAAGTAGTTAGGACACACGAGAACCAGTTTTCACCGTAGTCACGAAAACTCGTAAACCGATGGCTATAAATACCTGGTCTGTGGCCCACTCCAGCTGCAGTAAACACACACTACATGCATCAAGGCTTCTGACGTTCTGTTTGGGTTAGGAAACAAACACACCAAACTTGTGTTAGCGTTCAGAGCACACCACATGCATGGTTACAGTCCTGCGACCTCGCAGCTCCCCTCCCGACTGTCCATCAAGACAGCATACGAGCAGCAGGAGCTCCTCACGTTCGCTGCCTTCCAGGAGGAGTTCTGCCTGGGAAATTCGTTACGTCAAGTCAAAAATAACTCTGCTGGAGAACAATTTAAAGGCTGTTCTGTGCTGTCTACGCTGCAGAGCGGTCCGTGCGTGATATTACACGCTTGATAAAACATACACAGCACAAGGCACGTGTTTAGCACCGGACTGGTTTGTTCTCCTTATGGCTGAAGACACTCAGGAGCCATGTTTCAGGGAAATGAGAACTGAGATGGCAACACAACTCTTGGACTTTGCTCCCAGCCGTGCCATCACAGGGAGGAGAAGGTGAGCAAACCCCAGCTTGCTGCAAAAGGGAAGCGTAAAGATCCTAGGGTGAGAGGCAGAAAACCCCAAAAAGAACTGCTGCGCGCGGCTGGGAAGAGTCAAGCAAAGGAAGAAATAGCCAGAAGTCAAACCCGGCTCTGTTTCCTCCACATGGAGAACGGGTGAATTGCAGATCTCTATCAGCAGCACCAAACACTGGCTGTAGTTATCAGAAGAGATTAAATAAGTGACCTTATCTTGCTAGCAGTCTAATCTGCTAATGTATCAGCTCTCGTGTTCTCGTCAAATCACTAACGTGACCTTTGCTGTAAGAGCTCCTGTTCTTCCATTAAAGCCCTGCTCTGTCCAGTATCAGATATCCAGATTTTGTGCTGCGTGATTTGTTGCGTTAGTTCCCCTTCCCTTCTCAGAAGCCTCCTAACTCAGTGGGTTTAAACATACACCACTGGTTTACCTTAAGTCTTTCTCTTTTTACAGATACCCAGGTGTACTGGGGGACAGCTGACCATGCTCACACGTACAGCCTGGATTTCCTTTAAGTTCCACAACGCGGAAGAAATTTGCCTTTTTCACCTCAGCTACTTTATTCTCCGATAAATACAAACGGTGCACTAAGTGCTGTGATACTGCACCTCTGTTGGCTTCACTTCTGGCCTTAATGCAGCTACAAGCACTGGGCAACGCTGCAGTAATAAAAAGCCAGAATTATCCTGCAGGTTTCAGACCACTCATCTTTCATAAGGGTGGCAAAGACCCTTGTGACACAGGATACAGATGAAAACCAGAGGGATCTTTTCTGTTTCTACACGGTGCAACTACGTTCACGCTCTTTGCTCCCAAGCCAATCCATTAGAGATGAATCAGAACTGTCTTTTGACGCAGTGGATTGGTCACGAGGGCCTGATCGGTCAAACACAACAGGGATTTGCTGTCATCTAGACAGCAGAAATAGCTGATATTCTGCCAAGCACTCCTCACCCTTCTGAGACCCACTGTTGTCCTCCTCCCGGGGTATCTACAGGAGCTGAATCCCAGCCCCATCAAGGATATCGATCCAGCCCACACCGGGAACAAACTCTTCTCCACAAAGTGCACCATCAGGGAGAAATTCCTCTCTATATTAGGAAAAGCCTGAGTTGCGTATGTGGTGGCGGCGCCTTTCTTCTACCGAGGCAGTCTGAGTGAAAAGCTGTATATGGGGTAAACGACCTGAACACGCTTCCTCCTAAGGCAACTGTAGTTTTGCTGCCAGTTTTGTAAATCCTCCATAACCACCGAATTTCCCAGCGGTGGTGGGAAACACTGCGTAGTGGCAGGAAAGAGCAAGCTCTCAGAAACACATGAAGCAGCCGGGGAGGATCTAGACCCCAGTAAAACATACCAGGACTCCACTACCGCCTCGGCTGCCTCGCTGCAGGTGTTGAAACACCAGCGAGTCAGCTGACAAAATCATGAGGCTCGCTAAAGTGGGCTTGGGGGGATTAAATAAAGCTCAAGAATAATCCAGGTGCATTCAAAACGAGAACTTTAATGGCCTACAGACGTACGCAGCGATTTCTGTGGTACCATCTACCAGAAGGCAGCACAAATTCAAGCTGCTATGAAAGAACACAGGCCTTGCGGGGAGCTGAGCTTCGTTGGTGCCGCATTACGTTCTCTCTCTCTCCCTCTCCAGTTTCCTGCTCTTTCACTTGGTTTTCCTGGTACCACCTAGCAGCAGCTGATCATTTTGGAAGAGAGGAAGAGGGCGTACGTTAATCTTCTGACACCTTAGGATACAGCCTGTGAGCTAGAGGCTTGTAATACGTCTAAGACTTACACACATTCAGTCGAAACCAGACCTGCCTTAGTTCTGAGCATTGGTGTTCTACAAGCATCAAGTGAATACCCAAAATGGATTTGCTATTCTCATAAATATTTCACATTCCTCCAGGGCTCAGCATCAATGGAAAACAGCAGACTGCTGATTAGTCAGAACAAAGCCACGTGGTCTTTAGAACCATAGTGGTACATAAGCAGCTTTGCTTTAAGTCATTTGAGGCACTTTTCACTTTAAAACACTGGACTAAAATGCTTTTATTGTAAAGATTCATGTATCTTGGGCTGAGAGGTTTGCTTTTTATTTGACCCTTTCGGCAGAGAACTAAGTCCAACCAACTACGATGTCTGCAAACTCTCATCCAAAACACAGAGATACTGTAAAAACCAACCCAGGCTCCACCAGGCTCAAAATTTTAACAGGAAAAGAACTAACATTTACACCTGTACATTCTCTCTGCCAGGTTATGTGAAGGGACGTGAGCCCAAGCTACCGAGTCCGACCTTCCGCGATGTCAAAACCTGGCAAGGGCAAGGTCAACTCTTATGTTTGTGTTTCTCTCTACTTGCTGCAACTTAAGTTATAAGCGTTCCAGTTTGGCCTTAAAAGTCAAACACGTAAACCATTTCTTGCTGCTTCATTAAAGCCAGCCCTTCCTCTTGAGGTTTTTACATCTCTGGAAAACTTATATTCTTAGAATGGAGGCAAATTGGTCAAAGGGAGCAACAAGTGCAGCCCTGTGCTCCCCTTAATGTAAACAACCTCGTTATTTGCAAGACAGCAGCTGCTTGCTCTTTGGACTATCAAGCAGCAACTGGGAATTAAATTAAAGAAAAATATATATGGTTAAATCTGGTTATCACACTTCAATTTTAAATATGAGCATGCTAGAGTCTTAAAAAATGAAAAATGTTGAAGAAATCAATTTTATCAGCTTAAACATGACCCAGCAAAGAGTTTTCCATGTGTGTGGGAAGCAGAATCTTACTGCGTGCTTTCGGAGGAAAAATGAGCAGAAAAACTCAAAAGTCACATTAAAACACTTGCTTTTCAGTTTTTCTAAAATTTAATTTTTTAAAAGTTAATTTTCAAAATGTTACTTCTGAAAGTTTTGGAAAAGGCCTAAGGAATACACTTTGCGAGGTATTCACAGCTTCACTGCAATTGTGGGGCAAAAACCCCAAACAACTAAGCTTTCCTTTAGCCAACAGCATATGCTGAGGTAAGGAGGAGTCAAACAGATAATCTGAGTTTCGGACAGGTCGGCTCAAAGCTCAGCTTTCAGCTCTTTTGGCATCTCCACTGAACCAAATTTTGCAGCTACCAAAACTCTTCGTAGCCCAGTCGGTCTGCATTTGTGCACTTTATGGATTCCAGAGGCACAGGGAACAAAACCACGGGGAGGGACGTAAATTCTCTTTGCAGATCATATTTAAGGCTGATGATACACATTAGGATGTGAATTCAGCCGCTTCTTTTGGAATTTAGAGCAACAGTAATCTTCAGCAAAAGAAGCAATTCACCTTCCAAGGGCACGAGCACCATGCTAAGGAAAAAAATGCTGAAATAGAACCATTTCTAAAAATTGTTGTGAGCTTTTGTCAGAGATCTGCACTTACTGCTACAGCGCCTCTATTTTTATATGCTGCAGCTATTAAAAACGGGATTTGCGGAAGCCTCCACAAAGCTGTCCTTACACGAGGCTGCTAAAATACCACACCGCTGAACCACGTCCCTGACTAGGCACTACAGCTCGACCCGGGACAACCACTTATCTCCACACCTTCGGAGGCCAAGAAACCAGAGCGCGTAGGATGTTGCAAAGAGAGCACAAACTAAACAGCGAGCGCCCCCGAATGCCTTCATGCAGACAGATTTTGCTGTACATAAAGGAAGAGAGAAGGGCAGTTTGAGGCCACGAGCAAGAATAAAGCCCCTTTCTCTCCACCGTTTCCTCGCTGGTGCTGCATTAGGCTGCATCTCCCAGGAGCTGAGAAGGGGGACTGCTGACAGACATGCTGATGCACAGCAAGAAAACTATGCAGATTAATATTTCAACTGGGCTCCTCCTGGTACCTGCTTCCTCTACGGACTTCTGTATTGCTTCTGCTAGTTCCTGGTCTGCAATCTCCTCCGGACGTATGTCTTCCCGCCCGGCGCCGTAAGCCAGCCGGGCGCACTCCGGGAGCTCGCCCTCCGGGAGGAAAGTGGTCTGCGAGCCAGTCGTGCCGATCACTAGTACGTTCTTCTTGAGATCAATCGAACACTGCGGAAGAGCATCGAGACATCAGGGGCCTGTGTGAGAGCCAGTCAATTCCCGAAGGAAAAGGAGAAACAAGGTTAAACAATCCATTTCCAACAGGAACAGCTCACAGCAGGTAAGCACGGGCCAAGGGCACCAGCGATAAGCAAAGCCCCCCGTATGACTTGATTTGTAACAAATCATCCCGTTGGAAAGCTCTGGGCAACTTTGATCAGAGCGAAAAACTTCAGGGAGCATCCCGACACCCTCTGGGCATGTAGGGAGTGTACTTCTTTCATAACCAGCTGGCAGATGATCCACCCAGAAAACTCTCCCCAGAAAAATCCGAATAAATTCACAGGCAAGGCATTTACGTTGCACTTAGCACCTAACTTGGAAGAGCCAGTAACTGCTTCAAAAGAGGTTTGGATACCTGATGCCTCTTCAGCATATCCAGCCCTAGAAGCATGTCCATGGGCTGCTCTTCAAGGATTGAGAAGGAGCACGCCAGGAAATCCCCTTCAATCTGGACCTGAGCTGAAAGGCAAGGGAGAGAAGTTACCACCTCGCAACGCTACAGCAGAACAAGATGCTCTTCCATCTCCTGGGAAAGGTCTGCACAAACCGGATGGGCAGATCTGAAACCAGAGCTCTGACGTACTCTTTTGGTCACAGAAAGTCTAGCCCTGTGCAAGCCCCAGGGACTACCAGGCCTGCCTTGGTCTCAAGGAGTTGGTTATTTTAAAAGCTGACCTGCTCTAGAGCCTTAGGTACTGCTTCTCGAACCCTCCAAGCTCGAGGAGCTACGCACAGCTCGTTAGAGCATAGGTCTAAGGAGCAACAACAGTGAAGAGAATTGATTTTTCAGACCATAAGGACAAGTTTCTCTCATCCAGAAAACCTGTACAAGAGCACAGCCAGCCTTCTCTTCCCAAAGGATTATGAAACCCTCCACTCTACTGGAACCCTTCCTGAGCAACTCGTACTGCCCAACAGTCCCACCCCAAACAGGAAAGACCGCGCTGTTTCACATCAGCCTTGGTTTTTGCACCCAGATTGAACGTGTCCTCTAAGTCCGCAGCAGCTGAGGACTCCCTCACCTAAACGCATTAAACGAGACAAAAGCCAGAGCACTGCGCCTGACACAAACGAACGCATCGCAGACGCGCTTCTACTTTACTCTGCCGGAGTTGCTAACAATTATAGCACAAAAACAGATACTCCCCGGTGCCAGGACTGCGGGAAACACAGTCAAACTGCTGCCGAAGCTGCCCCGAGGAGAACACCGGTACTTACCTAAGTGCACTCTGCCGATGATCTTCTGCGTCCCTACACCCTTCGCAATGCCGGCCCACCGCCGATCTACCAGCCTCATTATGTTGCACCTTTCAGCACAAGCTTGGCTCATGATGGTCATCTGGGCACCTACCAGCGACAGAATTCACGTTAAATCCTGACAGCTCATCACAAACTAAAATTCCCTTCCTGGAAGGGCTTCAGATCGTGCACTCAGCAGCCAGGAAACCAACCCGCCTGCACCAGGCAAGCGCATTAGGGCAGAAAGGCTTCCTGGGCATCCCACTGCGTCGAACTGACCGTGTACACACAGATCAGCACCGACAGTAAAGCACCTATTACTGTAGAGCTGGAATAACCCCAACTCCTTTCCCCTGAAGGCTGTGGAAGGGAAGCACTGCATTAAAGGCATGCAAAATCCCCCCAGCTGTAAACTGAGATAAGACACGCCTGTGGCAGCGACCTTTCTGGCATCACAGCCCCAGAAATTCTCACAGGAGCCTTGATCTGGGGTGTTGCAGCACTCACGCGCGCTGCCTCTCACACCAGTTTGCTTTGTTCGCTTTGAACAACGCCCAGGCTGCTCTCGGGTTTTGGATAAGGTGCTTCAACATCTTGTATTATGGAATTTTTGAGCAAAACTTCTGGAGCGTTTACAGCCTCCCTCGGTGAGGGAAAGGAGAGGGTGGAGAAAGAGATGAAAACAGGGGCAATTCACCTGAGTCGACAAAGGCTTTCACTGGGTGTCCATTGACTTTGCAGTTAATATACAGCATCACCACCTGCCCAAAACTCTCGGGGGCCTCTTCCATTGCTATTGTCATATTTTCTTCAATGTTTTGTTGCCTGAATTTAACAGAGAAGAGAGAAAAATCAGACCTTCCACCAGCCAAACCTTATAAGCATCCCTCCGAGTTACAAACAGACCTGGCATTCCCACCCGCTGCAGCTCACCTTACAAACGGCACGTTTGAACCACAACAAAGACTGTTCCGTTAGCTAAACATCGGCTTCTTAGCAGGGCGATCGCTAGTCATGATCTTGGCTTAATCCAGAGACACCAAGTCGCTCCCCAGCAGCCAGGAAGACTGCTCCTTCCAACTCGCCCCGCCTAACTCACACTACAGCTCCTGACGACCTTCTGTTTGTGACACAAACCTGTTGCCACAGGCTTAACCTGGAGAATTTGTAAGCAAAACCCTGTATTTATTAGTCACTGTAAAATGAAGCACTGAGGGCAGACAATGAAGATGTTGCCAGTAGCTACAATGCTGGAATCCCACACAGCAGCTGAACATTAAAATCCTCCAACGTCTCCCTGGTATCCTTCCTTTCCCAGGCATAGGAAGGGAGGGAGGTGAGCAAAACCGCGGTGAGAACACCACCATGAGCACGAGCCCTCG